TGCTTTGAGTTAGTGTAAACAGCTTAGAATAATGGTATCTACTTAAAAAAAAAAAAAAAAAAAAAAAATCAACATTAGAGTTGTGAAACTGGCATTTCCTAACTTTGGAGTTCCAGAATTTTGTTTGCATGGATAACCTTTGTGTATACAGGGACTAAGCCTGAATGCAGTCTTACCATGTTGAGTGAGGGGAGGAAGAACTAGGCCTCACAGTATCTAATGGTAGAATTATTTACTAATAATTAATAAATCAATTGGAAAGATTTACTGAACTGGCATTTGCAAAAGATGAAACATTCTGCTCCCAAATATCTCTCTGCGTCTGCTTATCTTTGCACCATGGAGGATGGGAAAGAGAACTGTCATCTTCCAGTTGTTGGTTCCTCAGGGATGTTGACTCTTCCACTGCAGTGCTTGTGTTTCGGAATGAGGCATCAGCCCAGGGCAGGAAATCATCCACATACTCAGACGGTGCACGCTCAAGTGATGGAGCTGGGGCAGGTAGCTTTCTATCACAGCAGAAATCAGGATCTTCCATCCAACTCCCCGCCCTTACAATTTGTGTTAGTATTTTACATCAGTTATTCCCTCATAGAGCTTGGGCAACCTGAATATTTTCTCTGTCTAACAGTTTCATTTTGGGCTCCTTTAGGACAGCAGAAACTTACGCCTCTTCTCATATTTTTTTTCCCATCTCCCCGTGAACTAAAATTATTGGTGACAACAGGAATCTTCACAGCTCTGAAATTCCAGCTGTCCTCTACAAGACTGACAGGAGCTCAGTTATTTTGTGTGTGTGTGTTTGTGCTGCTTTTAGTCACAGTCAATATAAGCTTTACGGAGAGATCGTGTAAGCAGTGTATGCATTGTTCTGTTCCAATTCATCAAATACATCCACGTATAAAAATACAATCAAAAACATTTGACATCAAAACATGAAAAACACTTCAGTTTACCTACGTCAGAAAACTTCTCCTAGTTTTTATCAATTTTATGGAAAACAGTCAGTTGTCAGTTTAATTAGATTTAATAATGTAACTAAGCATTCAGTTTCTCTACATTATTTCTGAAGTGTTCTTTTTTTTTTCTTTAGAGCAAATTGGCTTGTTTATAGGAGTAAAACCTAAAACCTTAGGAGACCTAGCTTTTCAAAAAATGTAAAGTACTCAGATCTAATCAAAGCAAGTGAACACTGATGGGGCTGAGCTAATTTGGAAATTACGCCATTGTTATTTTTCTTGCTCTTTCTCTACCCAATGTATTATATAAAACAGGTTCATATTAGATTATAGTTGACTTCCCAGAGGACGTGAGTGAACGAATTATTCCAGATAATTTTCAGCACAGGGAGGGGAGAGTAATTAAATTGAAGGCTAAATCAGAGGAGAAGATCCTGAGTGCATTTTCATCTCTTCTTAAACTAATGGGATTTGATAACTTAGTCGGTCTTGCATGATTTGGTACTTAATGTTAACTGTGATCCTCCCTCCCCCTTTTTTGAATGTGCAAACTTTTGCCCTGTCAACAAAAAATTTCTCCCAAGTAAAAACTTTTCATATGAAAAGGGGAGCTATCTTGCGAAGCTGTACAATGAGAATGAAGTGGCAGATTTCCACTTTGTGTAGCTGGAGAAATTCTCCAGCAACACGGGAAAACCAGCAGTAACTGACATAGCTTGACGTAGTTTTCTTCTCCTTTGAAAGGTAATACAGTTTGTTTCAGATTTTGTTCTCATTTTCTGTTTTCTGAGGAAGGAGAGTCAACCCAAGAGCATAACCATGGCAAGATTTTCCATCAGGAGGGCATGGATTTGGTCATTGTGTTTTATTTTTAAGGCCCTGGAAACTGACAGGACTTACAGAAGTTTCCTCTGGAATACCTCTCCTGTATAGTATTTTACATAGATAATTTCTTGTTATTGGGACTGGAACTGTGTAATTTGCTTTAACATTTAGGTTTTTTTAAGAGAGAACTGCTTGCTCTGTGAAGGTCTGCAAAGAGTGTTTTCAGATATTCATGGATTGCATGATAAAAAGAAGCTAATAATATGTAAAAGTATTCGCCAAAAACTTTTTTCGAACTACTATTATCCCATTATGTTTCAATTAAAATAAAATTGCTAGCCTGCTTTGTTCTTAATCCTAGAGCTCTTGTTCACTCTCCAAATATTTATTTGTAAAACTGCTTGCATCAGGATATCTGTGAATGTGATACGTTGCAACTCTGATGAATGAGGAGAGCAAAACATGGAATTGCTTATGTATAACTATAAGCAGGAAAGATGTGAGACAGAAAAACAAACCTAGTAAATTTCTTTAAAATATGATGCCTTAAAAGCCTAATGACTTACATGGTCTATTATAAAAATTGAATCTGATTCAAAGTAGATGCCAGAGTTTTTAAAATACGTACGCATGTGTGTGTGTGTGTGAACTCCAGGTTCACCTTAAGCAAGCCTCTTGTTACGTAGAGATCCTATTCAGGGGAAAAAATTGGAAAAGTTTTTTTTTTTTTTTTTTTTTTTAACCTTGCTTGTGATATTTTACTAAACAAACTGAAAATGAAGTGTGATGTCTTTTGATATATTTGTCCATCCTGTGTTATAGCCACTTCGCTTCTGTGGTTGTGCCCGTAAACAGATCTGGTCTCTGTGGGGTTCCCGGAGGCCCCTCAGCTCTGCACCTCAGCCCCAGGCCTCTTCCTCCGAAAGAGGCCACCGATACCGTGCTCCTCCTAGGGCAAGTTCTTGCTGCAGCTGCTCTTTAGTTGTCATTTCTCTGCTCCTTAGTTCCTCTTCCTCTCAAATATTTTTTTAGAAATTTTGCTTTCTTCAAGATCCTCTAGGTTCAAGGCAGGTTTAAGAGCAGCATCTTACTGGCTTCTTAGGTCGTAAAACAGTATAAGTCTGGTGCATTTGGAGCTTTGCCACAGAGGGCATGTTGCGTTTTGCTTTTCCTTGAGCATACAGCCCTATGGAGGTGCCCAGATATCCATCTTAATGCAGAAATCTCATGGTTAATGGATGCCCTCTGCTCTGAACAGTCCTTACTTAATGCAAATACTTGCAAGACTACTTGCAGTCACCTAGGAGGGATCATTGGAAACTCTTGTAAGATGGTTCAAAAAAGAAGCATTTAAGCATCTTCTCGCTTCTTTTCTGTACATAGTGTGCTAGCTCTTTGTTTTGTTACCGTTTTTCATTCCCCTCCATCCCTAATCTAAGAGTGTTAGTAGCATAAAAAGACTTTGCTAAAAAATAGACTTCTGTTCCTGAGATTTCAAGAATGAGAGATGGAGTAGATATTTATAACTGATATTTTAAATTAGTGCTGAATTTAACAGAGTATTATTTCATATGTCCCCAGCACTCTGAACATAAGCTTAGTGATTTTGTTATTTAGGTTTAGATATTTCAGAGGGATGAGCTTTTACCATTAAAAGTAAGAAAACATGCCAATTAAAGCAGGATTTTGTGTCGTGAACACAAATGACAATTCAAAATATTTATACTATGCATTCTAGATGAAAATGATTGCTTTCAATAATTGCCTGTTTATCACAGGCCTGTTTATAACATGTGAGATTTTTGGGGGGGGAGTCATATCTCCGCCAATTAATGTACTTCTTGTCCAAATAAAACTATGCCCACAGCTGCAGAAGTATTTCAAGATAAGTGCCTACAGCATGCTGGTTCTGGCAATGCTCAGCCAGCTTTCTCTTCCACTTCTTGTTCTCCTCCTCTCTCCACAGTTTCATTTATTTCTGCAACAAAACAGAAGAATGTTCTCAGTGGTGTTTCTCAGCAACTCTTCAGTCTGTGGAAAGTGTGGGCAGTCTCTGTATTCAGCATCCCGGAAAATGTGCGTTCCCTTGAAGTGATCCGCTGAAAGCGCACACTCAGATCCTTGTTCCAGCCTGCCTTGCTGCACTGCTCGGAAGCCCTGAAATGCCTGGTTTCTAGTAGCCCTTGCAACTGGGGATTCTTCTGCTGAAGAGGCACTAGCAGCTGCGGTTACCTGTGCATTACCAGAGAGCAAGGACACTTAAGATGGCTCTGAGCATTCTGTGTGCACTGTGGGGATTGGTGCTGGAAGTGGCCCTGACATTTGGTCCAGTACCAAGGATCTCTTGGGAACACAGAGGTAAGAAGAGTAACTTTAATAGTCTTGTACATCTGTCTGCAATATCTGGGTTTCCGTGTGCATCAAAACCGGTTGCGTCCATGTGTCTTGTCAACCTGCGTGCTGAAGTTTCAGGCAGCTCTTTCTGGGTTTGCTCAGCTCCTAAAGTGCTTAGGACTAGAATTAGAATATTGAAAAGTGACTTAGGTACTTGGTTATAACTGGAGATGTTTCAAATAGTTCTCGAAGAAAGATTTATTTTCAAAAGAGGAATTTCAAGTTGGACTTTCTCAGTCGGAGGACCTTGAAACTGAAACGGAAGAACACAACTTATGTATTTTCTTTTAATTGAATTGCTTTTACGTTCAGTCTGAACATGCAGCAGGATGTGTTTCTCAATAATTATTTGTGACACTTTTTTCTTAAGAGTGAGACTCGAGTACAGTAAAAATTCCTATCTACTATAAAAACTACCAAGTGGAGGAAGGATAAGCATTTGACCGTTTTCCAACTACGCCTATATGTTGAAACAATCTAATTTTTCTGCTTTTTTTAACAGAATATTTTCTGTATTTGATTTTTCAGCAATTATTCATAACTTTTTCATAACTTTTTTTTGTTTCCAGAAAGTATCCATAACTCCTGTAAGAGGATCACACATTCCCTTGGAATGAAAAGAGTATCACATTTTCGCTTGGGGTCCTGTTAGAAATCTTAGCCCAGTTCAAAACAGAGGTCTAGATCAAGAACTGTAAAGTAGCTGCTTGCTGCTGTTCATGAGTGTGTCTTTCTCTTTTGTCTTTTTTCTCTCCTTTTTCCTTTATTTTCCTGTTTCTATCCACCTGACATACATTTATTTTGTTTGTTTGCTTTTGGTTGTTAAAAGGGTTTGTCTTTTCCCCTGCCCTAACCACACATAGGATTTAGCAATCCCTGCTGACCCAAGCGTGTGCTGAGACAGACAGCGAATATGGGCAGGGTGAAGGAACAGTTAGGGAAAAGTGTTAAAACTCTGCAAAGCCAAACTGTAGGAAGAGATGGATAGAGATCAGGAATGTGATAACAATAACCTGGTTAATGAGACAGTTCTGAAACATGTATTTTCCTGATTATTGATGTATCGATAAATGAGATGCTGATATGCCCCTTGTTTTCCAACCCCCATGCCATCCTTCATCCTAGAAGGAAATAGTCTAAGCAAGGCTTGTAGATACTGTTCAGACTTCATGATGGTGCTGTGTAATAGTTAAAATATGGCAAGTTACTATGTAGTGGTAGTACCACTAGTTACAGAATTCACTGCTGACCCAAATTCAGGTTGCTCCAGATAATGGCATTGAAAGTAAATTCCAGTTATTTCTGACAGTATCTGTCGACTAAAGATTTTTTGCATTTAAACATGAGAAATCTACCTTGAATAGTAAGTACAATTTAGATCAGTGGAGGAATGGACATGTAAAATTGTGCGTGCTCATTTTTTTGGTGAAAAAATTCCTGCCAAGTGAAAGACTTCTAAATGACATGCTTGCAAAATCTGCTTTAAAATAAGTGTTCCCAGAGCCTCCTAGTTGCAAACGTGCAACACCGATTACTCAAACTGGAAGTAACAATAGATTATTTTCTGCTTATATCTTTAAGAAACACTCAGGCTTTTCAGCTTCCACACTGATTGTACATGCAGGAAAAAAATGCTTCTGTGTATTAATTTGTATCATCTTTCACCAAGGCATTTTGTTCCGGCTTGCACGGTTTCCCATTCCACTGTTACTTTTTCTGTAAAAAAACTGTGCCTCCCTGTTTCTCTTGTCTACTTTCTTTTCATCTTGGTTTTCATTTATGTCAGTTCCTTTTAACCCTGTGCGTTTTACCTCCAATCTCCATTTCAAAATGAACTTATTCACACACTTTAAAGGGAACCTTTTAGCTTCTCTCTGTCTTCTTTCTACTACGATTATAAATTGAATATTCTTTGCTGAGGTAAAGGAATTTTTATAGCATTGAGAATGGTACAAGGGACATGGTAACTTTTCAAAATTATCCAGGATAGGTGCACATGTAGAAGGGAAAAGGTGAGAAAAATGATAATAGTTGATGTGAAATGTAAAATGGAAGGACAGAGGGGGAAAGAAAAAAGGAATTAATGGGTGAGAAACAAAGGAAAAAAAGGAAGGGAGAGTTGAGTTATGACCACAGGAGGAAATGTTTGGGCATTTGTGACTGAATGGGCAAGTGGGACCGAGGATGCTGGTGCGGGTGACGGGCGGTGCTGTGGCTGCTGAATCAGCTCCTGGGAGATGTCTCATCTGCTCTGTGGGTTGTCTGCACTGAGATTTGTTGCTTTCAAGTTACCAAATGAATGTTAGACAGCTCAGAAAAATGACCCATAAACTTGACCTGAAGCAATTGTGTTTCTTCATGTGGTGCTCTTTTGCTTTCATTTCAACAGAGGTCCAACTAATACATTTTCATAAACCAGAAGTGTCAAACTATTCAACCTTATTGCTAAGTGAAGACAAAGATGTCCTGTATGTAGGAGCCAGGGAAGTGATCTTTGCATTAAACTCGATGAATATTGCTGAAAAGCTACATGAGGTCAGTATACATTTCAATACACTATACTACACTAAAAAAAAAAAAAATCCAAAATTTGACTTCATTTTCTGATACCAGTATTTCAGATATTAAATCCTTTATACGGTTTGTGCTAGTTGTGTGTTATTTCTAAAAGACAGATTGAATAATATGCCATAAAATAAGAGGAAGAAATGACAAATGAGTTAATATAGGTCTTGTAAGATATTTTCTTTTTGAGGACGGCATACTGTATTGGAAGGACCTTTGGTGTAATCCAGCATGGTGGTTCTTGCACAAATTTTCATTACTGGCAGTAGGCCTTCTGCCATTAATTTAAATTGGAAAGAAGTATAATTTGAAATGGAAGCAAAGTTAGACTTACACTCAGAAGTCAAGCACTCTTGTCCCTACAACCTAGCTGTGGTGGCTTCGGATGCGCATTAAATCACAGAACAGCTGGGGTTGGAAGGGACCCCCAGGGATCATCTAGTCCAACTCCCTGTTCTAGCAGGGACACCCAGAGCACGGGGCACAGGGCGGCATCCAGGCGGGTTGGGAAGATCTCCAGAGAAGGAGACTCCACAGCCTCCCTGGGCAGCCTGTGCCAGGGATTCTGGCACCCTCACAGTGAAGAAGTTCCTCCTCACATGGAGATGGAGCTGCCTGTGTTTTACCTTGTACCCATTACCCCTTGTGCTGTCACTGGCCACCACTGAGAGGAGCTTGGCCCCTTCTTCCCTACATTCTCCCCTCAGATGCTTATGCATATTGCATATGTACAGCACATGTATTCAGCACAAATGTGCCGAAAGCCCTGTCTTTTAGGTTTCAGCTTCTGTTTTACGGCTCTGGATGTGTCTGCACAGCAAGCTGTGGTATGGAGAGATCTGATCCAGCTTGTTCAAAGCTAACTCAGTTGCCAGAAGCACTCTGGTTGTGCTGACACCGGCTTCTTGAGGTAGTTAAGTCCATGCAGAAGTCTGTTAATTAGGTTATATTGCTTTGAGTCCTCCTTGGGCTTCTCTTTCTCCCTGCTTCAGCAGCTTGGGGAGATGTTGGGAGGCTCAACACATAGCCCCCCACCTGAATGCTTTGGGAAGGCGCTCATGCTATATGTGTATTTGTGTATATATCTGCATATGTATATTTGATTTGAACAGAGTGTTCAGAGATGGTGGTAGGAATTTCACCAGCATATAAAAGTAGTTTTCAGTTATGAATGCATATGGCAGTCAGTGCTGTAGTCCTACATATAATAATGTATATTGGTCAATATGCTTCATTGATTGTGGGTTTTCATTGGGTTGGTTTTTCTCCAGCATAAATAAATTAAAATTGAGAAGTTCTTTAAAAAAAAAAAAAAAAAAAAAAAGTTACATTTTCCTAAGGCATATGATCATGGAGAACTTCATGGCTCATTAGCAAGTTGAGAATCATGATGATGAACCCCAGAAGATAATAGTAGTGAGTTCAGAGCTCCCCTAATGTACGTGGATTTGGAAATGTCACCTCCCCAGAGTGGGGAATGGCTTTGAATCTTTGAAAGATGTCTGCAGAATTATTTTCATTTGCAGCAGGTAGTCTTCATAGAATTATCTATTCTGTGATAATTGCATAAGCAAGGACTGAAAAGTTATAAATAGATTATAAGTGCTTTGAATTTATCTTTTTGTTGCTTGTTTTTTCCTTAGTTTCCCTGGGAGGTCACTGAAGATAAAAGAATTAAATGTGCTGTCAAGGGCAAATCAGAACAGGTAGGTTCATTGAACTTTGAAATTGATATTATACACCTCCTTTTAAGAGAAACAGTTTTAGAAGGAAAGTTCGAGCTGTTAGAAATTCAGAATTTCAAATTCTTATTTCTTCAGGCTGAGCTTTAGAGGCTGTTACATGCCTTTTTATTTGTTTGCTTTTGGTTTCTAGTTCAGTGTTTCTGGTGAATCTTTGTTTTCTTAAAAAAAAAAAAAAATGACTCCACGTTGACTGTACATGGCTCTGCCTTTCCTCTGATTTGGGTAGCTCCGGATGGTATAACAACAGCAACATGAAGTGATGGCTTACTTAACCAAGATTGGGAGATTGCCAGCGCCACGGGTTATAAAAGCAGTCCTGCCCTGTGCTTAGTGGGATTTGGCATGAGCACTGCTGTGCCTGGAGTTGCTTCCTGCGTGCTGGTTAGGGGTGCCCAGGCTAGCAGAGGTCCTGGTTAATGGACTCCTGGAGATGGAGCTGCTGCCTTAGCTCCAGGTGCTGCTTTTCCCTGGCCCCTTAGCTCAACTGTTTTCTTTTGGCCTAGGATCCACCAAGGCCACTTAATGTGACTAAAGGACGAGATACAATGGGCATTTAAGGGCCATTTCCTTTCTGCTTTAATCTTCTTAATGCAGTCTCAGCATGTTCTGGGTGCTGCACCTTCAACCATGGTTACTAAGAATAAGGTTCAAATATGGCCCTATATGAGATGAGTATTTTGCACAAGTGTGCACCTGCACACGCGCAAACACACTTCAGCAGATGCTGTGGCCTTTGCCAGTGCTTTGTAGAGATTATTGCTGTAATTGCAATGGTAGCAGCAAACAAGTACTTTGCTTCAGTATGCCCAGACCTGCAAACTCTTCCTCCTTTTTCTTCTTTCCTCTGATGTGCAAGTTTTACTAAATTGCACTTAAATCAAACCATGTTTTTCTCCACTGTGCTTACAGTCTTTTACTAGTAATTTTTATACTGTGTCTGTGATTTGTTTTGCATAATGTGGTAGTTTTGCAAACAGTAAGATGTTAAGCTGCTGCTTCCACCACTACTTGCACTGAAATAGATAGTCCTCTGCCCCTCTGATGTCTACCGTGCTGTCTAGTGCCAGCCTAAGCAGCGATGCAGCTCACGAATTTCTCACGAATTTCATTAGTCTTTGACCTTTTTGCTTCCACATGGGAATTGGAGATTTATTCTCTCAGTATGTTGGTGTTCACTGCTGAAGCAGTGGTGCACAGGTGACTGGGAAGTCAGAAGGAGCAGGACTGCGTGCAGCTGCATCTCTGGTGTCTGCATCCCAGGTGATGGTGTCATTCATCCTTACATCTCTCAAGATTTGGAAATAATATGGGGAGCAGCAGCAGCAGAGAGGATAATACAACTTCAGTTGTTTTTTTTTTTTTTATGTTGGAATGTGGAAGTTGTGGTTTATCAGACTGGTCCTTTTTCCATCCTCTCCTACAGACAGAGTGTCGGAATTACGTGCGTGTCTTGCAACAACTGAATGAGACTTTTCTGTATGTGTGTGGAACTAATGCATTTCAGCCGACCTGTGATTATCTGGTAAGAACACACATGTGTTGTTTTGTCCTAACAATAACTTCAATTTAAAAGGAACTCAGGTAAACAAAGAGTTAATTGCTGTTCCCACAGACTATTGCAATTTTAGTGCCAGTCATAGCCTTTGAAGCATTTATGATGATGTCTCTCTGCAATAGTAGAAAATGGAAATACATTGTAGTGTTCTCTTTTCAAAGCCTTTAATGAATTATTGATTCACCTTGGTTAACTTTTTTCTTAGCTTTCATAACACTCTGTTTATCCTGCATTTGGTGAAAGATGTTTTCTAGAACTGAAATGACATTCTTTGTGACTTCTGTCCATTTCTCACTTTCCCTGAAATTTTTCAGATTCCTGTCTCTGCTTGTCTTGTCTCTGCTGCTGGCTATGCCATAGCTCCATAATGCTGAATACTTCAGAATGAAATCCTGGCCCCAAATCAAAGCTCATGTTCCATCCTGCTGACTCTTAGCATTCTCCATAATGTGGATCTTGCATGATTCTGGAGTTCAGAAATCTTGTAATTTTGATTTCTTTATTCTTTCTCATCTCCCTTGTCTGTAAGTCTGCATGCCATCACCTCTGCTGCATTACCAGAATTCGTTGTCCTTACCCTCTAATGAGTCTTATAGGCAGTAACAAATGATCATTTCTACAGTTTTGCTGCTACAGTTCTCAGTCATCTTCCTGATCCTTATTCTATCAATCTTGAAGGGATTTGTAAGGTAGTAGCTAAACTACTCTGTTGCTGTTTAAAACATAGATTGATTATACTCCATTTCACAAATACGATGTCATCCTACAGATTGACAAATCTACTTCAGAATTCCTTCTTGATTTCTAAAACTCTCCTGTTTTGTGCCATGTAATGTAATAATTGCCTGGTTTTCCTTTCCAGCGAGTGACTCCTCTGCCTTTCTTGTTGTTGGGCTTTCTGGATGTTCTTGCTTAAGCTGTCCCCCTCTATCTTGATTTATCTTTTTGCCTTCTATTCTCTGCTCTTTCTCTCCCAAATCATAGGATCATATTTCTTCTTTCTGTTAGAGTTCAAAAGGTTCTCAGAAAATGCATATGCCCTTCACAGTTTTGAAAACATGTATTTGATGTTAACAGTTGATGAAATTGTCAGTTATTTAGTACTGACTTTTCGATTATTCAGCCACCTGACTTGCAAAGTTTTAAAAAATTATGTATTGCTTCCTGGTTTTCAATGTTTTTTTTTTTTTTTTTCAGAATTTAATTTCATTTGAGCTTGGAGGTAAAAATGAAGATGGTAAAGGTAGATGTCCTTTTGATCCTGCTCAAAGCTATACGTCTGTTATGGTTGGTAAGTTCTGTTTGGCATAGCTGATCATTACACACAAGCATCCACTCCTTTCCTCTGACATTAACCAGCTCCTCTCAAGATGCTGGATTTAGTGCCTCCTTTGAATCTTTACCATGTGTCTAGGCAGGCTTTGAAAGATTTGTGCAGTCTCATCTTTAGTAAGTTTCTTAAAAGGAGAACTTCAAATTCTTGAGTGTTTTGGAAGTAACTTTAAAAGTATTTTAAACTGTATTCTTAAATATTTAACATACTAGTCTGAGTAGTCTAAAAGTGTCAATATATTCATTCATAATGTACTTTGGTTCCTGTAGTGTCAATTACTGTCATTTTAGTAATCATAACATGTGGAATTTTTAGATGTCCTCAAGACATATTCTTAAAACAGAATAGAGGAGTGAGATTTTAACTGCAAGTATACTATTGCTTGATTATATACCACCGAATCTTGACTGGCGAAATCTGATTTTGTGTCTGTATCATGGAGTGGTAAGATCATAAAAGACAAGTTTAAAGTAACACAAAACAGGAAATGAAAAAGAAAAACTTACGCACTGCATTGTCATCTAAATTCTTCAAAATTTAGTTTCAGTAATGCTGGCATAGAGGAGGAGGCAAAATAATTTTGTTCCAAAACTTCCATGGCATTTAAGTAATTTGCATTATCCTACATAAACCACACATTTATGTATTAAATGTTGAAGTACCACAGGAACAGTGATGCTTCTGTTGCTTGTTTGTGTTAGAGCAATAATAAACCAAGTGTTAACTTTAAAAATGGTCAGCAGAGATACAAACACAGAAGTATGTCTGGGGCAATTCAAAGGAAATCTTTGTTTATCTTTTCTTATGGGAAGTTTAAGCTAACATATTCTCTTAAAATATTTATGTGCTTTTTTGGTATTCAGTACATATGACAGTCTGAAATATTTGTTTTTGTGTTAAAGATGAGGAGCTTTATTCTGGGACTTCTTACAATTTCCTGGGAAGTGAACCTATTATTTCACGAAACTCTCATCAGAGTCCTTTGAGAACCGAATATGCAATACCTTGGCTTAATGGTAAGTGGGTGTGAGAACAGGCCAAAACAAATCACATTTCCTTCTTCAGAGTTACAGTATCAGACAAAGAATTTGAATTCCTTATCAGAAGTAAGGGGTGATTGCCCAATTCTTCAAAGGTAATGTTTTTTGTTGTACAGGCATACGTTGACATTGACCTGTGAGTATGCCTCCAAAAGATTTAATTTTGAAAATTCAGGACTTGTTTTTCACTGTGCTAGGAAAAAAAAAAAGTTAGAGACATACAGGCTCTGAATTTATGGTAGCACTGCAGTTTGTCTTGTAATCAATTGTTTATCTCAACTGTGTTATGATATAGCTTGGAATAGGGAGGGGAATTGTTTTTTGTCCGACATACATATTTTCAATTATAGCTGAACATGATTGGTAGTCTTTCTTAGCTCCTGAATTTCAAATTTCACTGAGTTTCATGAAGGCTAAAGATTTCCTACCAAAAAGGACAAAGAACATGAAGCTGTCATGTTTCAGATACTGCCTTATGGCCAAAAGTTATAGCATGCTGAGTTTTGCAACATTTACTTTTGTTGTTTCTAGTGTTTTAGTTAATAGCACAAATTTTAAGTGAATGGCACTGTAGATGCCTACTTTAGGGAATTTTGCAAGAGGAAAAAAAATGAATTAAATCTTAAGTAATTCTTTTTTAAACCTTAAATCTTTTTTTTTTTGCTCTTTTTCCATGGCTATGTGCACCATGTAAAAGGTTTGACTTAACCATTAGATTTGCAGGTGTTGCTGGCTGACCGACCCTGCTAAGTTATTGCTTATAGGTCTCAGCTAATTCTATCATCAAAGATGATGAACCAGAATATGCTGTTTCTACTCTCCAAGTTTGCTTATTGTCTAGGGGACATCTTGTTTTTCAGCTAGGGAGAGAAGAGGCAGGCAAAGGAGGATAACTATTCGTGCCTATCAGAAAATCACTCTCAAGTGTGGGCTGAAAAATATGAAGTAATGAGATATCAGACCTTAGAGATCTCTCAGATCCCTAAGTCAGTGTGTGTTTCAGCGCGAATGTTTTGCATAGTTTTTCTCTCCAGTATTTCTGGTTTTCAGAAGTGATGCTGATGGGCTTAACAACAAACTGTGTAGACAGGTCACCAACTTGAGAGCAGTTAAATATTAAGAGGGCTCCTCGAGAATCTTAGAGGGAATTATATCTAGAGAGTCATATTCAACAGAAAATTCTTTTCTTAATTTGTATCTGCAGAGCCGAATTTTGTTTTTGCTGATGTGATTAGAGCTGATCAAAATGGCACAGATGGAGAAGATGACAAGATATACTTCTTTTTCACTGAGGTGTCTGTGGAGTATGAGTTTGTTGGAAAGCTGATGATTCCAAGAATAGCTAGAGTGTGTAAGGTGGGACATAGTTATTTTTCCTGTACTAATTCAAATGGATTTTTGCAAGTAAAAAACACTAATTACTGTGGACTTCTTGTGTGCTATGTAAATGGAAATGGTCAAACTTATTTTTAGCAAATTAGGAGTTTTAATTAGTTCGTCATGACTCAAAGTCTAGTTGGCAGTTTGGGACAAACGCTTGTTTTAATGCTCGTTAAGTGTTGTGTTTTCAGTACATCTCATTAGTAAAGTAATTATTAGAAATAATAATGTAAAAGAAATGTCTCCCTTTTTATATTTTATTGTTATTCTATTGTAAGTGCAAGTACAAACCCCTGGAAAAAAAAAAAAAAAAGATTTTCATTGGAGTGGAACAGATGAACAGATAGGATAATTTATTTTGAAGTAGCTGCAGATAAACAAAACTGCATTCCGCTGTAGACATGACAAGTTTTTTACTGCAGTGTAGCAGATGCAGCTTCCACAACACTGTCACACTTAATGTTTAAACCTCAGTATATAAGGCTGAGTCAAGTATACCCAAGCATACTGGTTAAAATCTTGGTACAAAAGATCTTTTTCTAGTTGAAAACACTGATTCAGCAAAAACCTTTGACTTGGAATGTATCAATTTCCTCAGTATTATTTTTTCAAGAAGAAGCCTATCTAGTTATTTTATTTTGATGAGGTTGAAATGTTTTATTTTGACTTAGCTGTTTTATATTTAAACATGAAAGTCAAAACATCAATAACAAGTTAGTGCCCTTGAGAATTCCATTAAATAAGCAGCTGGAGGCAGGTTTACGTGGAGCTTATTAATATGGCCCTCTGCCCGCCAACAGCTTGTCCATGCTTTCAAATGAGAGTGTTGTAGAATATGAAAAGGTTTCTGCCCATTTAAAACAGAAATTAATGGTAGCTTGCAAAACTAGAGGCATTTATATATAGTTCTTTTTTGAAATTTTGCAGATTTTGCTAAATATTTTGGATATCACTATTGGATAACAAACAGGAAATAGATTTCTTTTTATTGTTGTTCAAATATATGCTTTTGAAAAAAAGTAACAGAGTTGCCAGTTGATGGTCAAGTACTTTGAAACATTTTTTGGTCAATATGTCTTTTTTTAAAGCCTTGATCCAGCAAATTCTTAATAGGGCAGGGTAACTGCTTGAGGGAGTAGGCAGTCATATGCTTCCTCTGATGAAGCTGTGCAAGCTAATTGCTTGCAGTGTTGTTTGTCCCTTTCAGGGACAAGTGCCTCCGTGCTTATTTTAATTGCTGTAGCCAACATGATTTTTGATGAATGTTCAATTAACCAGGCAGGTGCAGTTATGAAGGTGCAGTTCATGCATAACCCTTATGTCTCATCTTACCTCCATGGGTTGAGAGAAACCACTATATATTATTTTTCTTAAATCAAAGCACTTTTTTTTCTCTTCTTTATACTCCTCTGCCTATGAATATGTTAATATTTCATGTATGTTGCTGTTTATTACCCATGAGAGAATATCAGAGTTTCCATAGTTCTCTGCTGAGTACCAATGGCTCTTGAGTGAAGAAAACATAGTCTAACCTCTCTGTCCCCACAATGCACCCTTTTTCTTTTTTTCTTTCTCAAAAGAGGGACCAAGGAGGATTAAGGACTTTGCAGAAAAAATGGACTTCCTTTCTCAAGGCCAGATTGATTTGTACCATTCCTGATAAAAATTTAATCTTCAATATTATCAACGATGTTTTTATTCTGAAGTCTCCAAATCTGAAGGAACCCGTAATTTATGGAGTTTTTACCCCACAACTGTAAGTGTGACATAGCTTTTCTGAGATGAGTATTTTCATCTCGCTTGGTTGCTGCAACAAATAAGGTATATTCTGGTGTTGATATTCTTTCTCCCTCTTTTACTCTTTCTCCCTTATTCTCTCTAGGAATAATGTGGGTCTGTCAGCAGTGTGTGCATACAATCTGTCTACTGTAGAAGAAGTTTTCTCAAAAGGAAAATACATGCAGAGTGCCACAGTAGAACAGTCTCATACAAAGTGGGTACGCTACAACGGGGAAATCCCTAGTCCTCGACCTGGGGCGGTGAGTTCCTATAACCGCGGATCTGACAGCTTGTTATGTTCAAGAGTGAAGAAACTGGGGAAAAAGTAGATAATTGACAAATTACTGCTGTTAGTAGCTTGAGTAGTATTAGTTTGCACTGATGTGGATGCTTCTATTGTAAAGACTTCTGAGAAAATTGCTTTGAGTAGTTTGGCCTAAAGTTTCTATCTGAGAATTACATAAGTTATTTTGGTTTGTTCATTCACTTTTTGTTATGTGCAGTTTTCGTGTCCCCATTATGTCATTACTAATTTTCTAGTGATGAATTAGACGTTTGTATATGTTTGGTGTCACCAGAGACCAGCAGAGCAGAAGTGTAGCAATCCCTGCATTAAATTCTTAGTTTCAGCAGGTTTATCCAATGTAGTGCTTTGCCTATGAACAGAGGTGTTCATCGTGCTTGACAATTTCCACACAACTTCCACATTTTACAAAAAAATAAAATTAAAAGGAAGTTATCTTCCTGCAGTCACTGTTGCATTTGCTGGGGAAGATATCAGTTAAAGATAGCTAAGAAGCATGGGAGTCTGAGAGGAAAGTTTTTCCTAAGATATGTTGTGGTCCTATGCAGAAGTGTAGTCTTAAGCTCAGAGACTATGCTTTGCAATGTCTTAGCTTATGCAAAGACGAGTATGCTCCTGACAGAGTGAAATGAGAGTGTGTAAGAATGTGCTTAATGGCCAACCAATGCACAGAAGAAATTATATCTATCTGCTGCTAACAGCCCACATGGTGTACAAGCAAGTGGTGTAACTTGGTTGTCTTTCTTTTGTCAGTGTATAAGCAACAAAGTTGGAGCATCAAGCTACATGAGTTCTCTGAATTTACCAGACAAAACATTGCAGTTTGTTAAAGATCACCCTCTAATGGATGATTCGGTGACCCCAATAGGAGATAGACCTCGACTAGTAAAACGAGATGTGAAGTACACCCAGATTGTAGTAGACAGAGTGAGAGCACTCAATGGTACCATATACGATGTCATGTTCATTGGTACAGGTGAGTTTTTCAAAATGCTTTGTTTTAACGATACATTGATTATATAGGATCAAGTGTGCTGTGATAGGAATCAGAAATTCCCATATTTGCAGTCATTATACCCCAGCTAGTATGTTATTCTTAAATGTGAGAGGCTAAAAGCGGAAGGCAAGTAGGTGAAGAATCTTTCATTTTTCAAGAACTACTTCAAGAAAGAGAACCAAAGAATTACAAAAGCTGCAGTGAAAAAAGTAAATGAAAATAGATCATTTGCTGTCCTGAAGTAGCATTCTTGCTCACTTCCTTTTTATATAATGGTTGTTTTTGGCAAAGAACTGTGCCAAACTGTTTTTTGTTTAACTTAATCAGGTAGAGTATTGAGACAAATTACAGCAAGTGTGCAAATATTTCTTGTCTTTTTGTTGTAAGGCCCTTAAAGCCTTAATGTATTGATTTTTAATTTCAGATCAAGGAGCCTTACACAAAGCTATTAGCTGTGAAAACGGAATGCATATCATAGAAGAAACACAGCTTTTCCCAAACTTTGAATCAGTCCAAACTCTCCTGCTTTCATCAAAAAGAGTAAGTACCATAAGCTCGTGTCTCTTTTGCACTTCCACAAGGCTTTAAGGATTTGTATTTAACTATTTAGTATAGTAGGTAAGTGGTAAGCTTCTAAAGCTCTAGGTATGGGCAGGGTGTGTCAAGCACAGTGTGCTGGTCTTCCCATCAATCCCTAGTACATGAGCTGAAAGCCATAATGTGTTTAAAGGTACCATGATGGGGTAGTGTAAAAATCCTGACCCCTTGTGGTCGTTACAAATCCATGAGGAAAGATCTGCGGGAAGGTAGTGAAAGAGTCTGTTTTTCTGAGGAAATTAACCTAAGAAGAGAGCTGTCTGTCTGGGAGAAAGACTTACTGCCTCAAATAGTAAAACTAATTGGCTGAGTCCAATTGCTTAAATGAGAGGTTCCTGCGGGGTAGCTTTATCATGAGAGCGGGCACATCAGTGTCTCCGGTGCTATTATGTGCCATCCGGGATCTCTCATTACACTCTGCTTTCCAGCTGGAATTCCAACTGCAGCTGCAGCCGGAAAATGCTTGCTCTGCTGCAGGCTCTAAACTCAGTGGTTCTGCATTATTAAGCAGTTGCTGAGTTTAATCCCAGAGTGATTTTGTGACAGTGGGAAGATAATCAGTGTGGGTACTTTGAGTGCTGGTTAGCCTTCTGCTCATAGTTATGCAGACCCTTAGGTTCCTAAATACTCGTGATAGTTTTACCATGAACAGTGGTTTTCAGCAAATCCCTCCACTCAGTTCTTGAAACTTCTTGGGCTCCTGAGGAAAAAAACGGTTTTACTGATTTATTTACTGATTTATTTTTGTTGTATTTATTTTGAAGTATCTGATAGTGATACTGATGCTCAGCGAATACCTAGAGATCAATAATTGTTCTGCAGTTTAGGATTTAGGAATACTGCCAAGGTATCTAAAAAGCAGTTCTTTATTTTCGTGATGTTGAACAAAGTTTGCCAATGTGATCAACTGTGTTGAAAGTTCTATCAAACTCTGTCGAATAACAGATTTTATTGAAAAGAGCGTTATGCTCTCGTATCTCACTCTCATGTTCAAAATAAAGCAAAATATTGTAAAGACAGAGTATGCTTTTGATAGGTGAATCAACAGTGTGATACAGACCTATATTAAGGGATATCAGTTAAATGTGTATTACTGCTATGTGTGATGCAATTTTCAAGCAATGTATGACTGAAATTATGAAGGTAAGTTTTCTATACGTGAAAGATAGGACAGTTTTTATCTTTGTTGTATTTGAATTTATTTAATGACATGGCATATATTTAAGAAATATAAAGGGCTTTATAGGATGTAATTTATATTACAATTTATATTAGTTTTATATAAATTTATATAAACACATGCTTCTGAAGAAAAGCAAACATATTAATATTCTCCAAATGAGAAATCACAAATATGATTTAAATTCAACACACAGCTGTCATCTTTGCATAGTTACAAAGTAATTTTGCTTATTTTTTAAAGTCTTCTTTTTTAGTATTTCTTAATTCTGTCTTTTCTCCAAAAGTTACTTTGATTTCCTTTAACTACTGTGAGCAGATATGTATGTTGTGCATTCAAAATCTCTGGGGTCTTTTTCTGTGTTTTTCTTTTAAATGATAGTACTTTGACTTATTTCCAAGCTAGTTTACAAGGACATAAAGGGCAAGGGTTTTATCCGTCTTATCAACAAGGAAAAGGATGGTGAATGCTGACTTGATAATCTCTTATTATGGCTATATATTTGTAAATACTTTCAGGACTTCTTCATCCGAAAAGAGTTCTTCCAATGATTTGATTTGACTGGGGGTTTCAGCATCTGTGATAGAAAATAATATTAGATAACACTTCTAATAAGTTCTTTAATTGTCAGTCTCTTAATTATGGGTAAAAGATGTAGTCCTTTGTGTACTAGTTTAATTATGGTCCCTTTTTATTTTTGGAAGGGATAGGTGTTACAGCCTCATACTAAATACACACCAGACACACCTTCTAGTTGAGACTACTGCAGAAATTATAGTATCAATTTTCTTTGTCTCTGAACCGAGTGCTAAGTTTTAGCCTACTCAAGTATAATCCGTGAGAAAGGCAAATGTGAACAGAGCATAAGGACACATGATGAACATACACCTTTTTACAGAGAAGGAGCTTTCAAAGCTTATGATTTAGACATGAGACTATGTCCTGCAAGGCACCATGGACCAGCAACGTTGAATCTTGAGCAAGTAAAAACCAAATTACTACTGGCTTAGCCTCTGCAGCTGGCACCTATCTCTGAAGCAAAGCCATCTAGTATAGTACCCCAAAAGCTCAAGACCTGTTCAGGGGTGAGGTGTATGGAGTTTGGGCTTGGATGTCAGGAACATGGATGTCGTGCTATTGTGGTACCAGCTAAACTGGGGTTGCTTCTGCATCCCGGCTTGAGAGGATCTGAGAGCATTCCTCCTTGGATATCCAGTAAGCAAGAACAGGTAGCTGTTACTCGTGTCCTTCAGAAAGTTGGTGCTTGTAAATGGTTAGTGTCATCCCGTAGTAGAACTGTTAACCACAACAGCCCTCTGGGGTAAGAACCTTTTGGGAGTCTCCAAAACTTCCCCTTGTCCAAAGGGCACTATTCAGATGAGACAGTAGTCGATACTGATGAGCCCAGTTTGTATAAGAGATTTTTCTGAGCTTCTGAAATTGTGTCCCCAGCTCTCCTGGTCTTGTCTGTACTCCCTGGACGTAGCAGCTTGGTCCCATACAGAGAGGCTGGAGCCTTGCACAACATTACCCTGTCAGCTTGTGTGTCGGCTGGCAGGGCCTAGAGAGCTGGAGAGCCCTATGGGGATCAGAGGAAGCTTTTGGACACTCTTCTGAAGACTCTGTTTCGTTGTTCTGCTTTTAAGCAGTTGTGCTGTTAGTGCATTAAGGAAAAAGACTGCTCTGAGTTCTTGTAGCAATAGCTCCTTACAGCTCTTTGTGGAAAGTAAATAGTGAGCTCCAAAACATAAATTTAATCCTGAAACAGCCTGTTAGTTACTCACCTTGAACTGAAGTGTTTTAAGAGTTTTGCTTTTACCTGGCAAGCTTTTCTAGAGGTGTATCTGCCTGTCACTTTATGGCTATGGTCATCTTGACAAAAGAGTCAAGGCAACCATAGGGTGCATTTCTACACACTGAGATCTGTGTGGCTGCCCCCAGGAAAGCCCCTTAGAGCTTGGATCGGACTTACTGGCAATGCCAGCAGCTGGAGAACACCGATACATCCACTCAGTATTCAGCTCAGGATAAAAGGAGAGCACTGCCAAGGTGGGATGTGCCGTTCAGCAGCCTCTCAAAGCACCCAAGTCCTCTGCCATTGTAGTGTTTGTGGGGGCTCCTTCCCCCACGAAGCTAAGGACTATAAAGCTGAGCCTAAGCCTTATAGAGAATAAATTCACAGGTCACCCTGAGCCATTGGCTTCTGCAAACTCTAAAGCAGATGAATGAAATATGCTGCTGGCTGCCGTTTATGGCAAGGATGCCCAGAGGGAGTCTGGTCTTTTGCAGAAGGACATAGAGTGGGATTCGTTTGTGAATGGATCCCCACTTGTCTGTAGGTCATTCCATTTATCCTTCCCTTTTGCTAGGAATTGGGCCAGCGTAATAGGTGGTATTTGGTAGAAAGCAGGCGGATTCATTCAAATCTCAGCAGGCTGAAAGTGATGGGGCAGTGGAGATGCAAGTGGGAGGACCAAAGGCAGCAGGGCAGCTTTGAGAGTGGGGAGCAGGTTGTAATATGGAAAGCCTTCCCTTTTGAGAAGTGTCAACACGTGGATCTCACCTTGCAAAGAGATTGTCAATGCATTTGCATTTTTGGAATAACACTAGAAAGCCATATTTAGCTGTTTATTTTCCTGTCTTGTAGAGAATAGTTATTTTAATTTTGTCTTTTTTTGCCTTTTTTTGTATCATCAACAACTTTCATGATCCATTTCCTTTCTAAAACAAAGTCTTATCAAAGCAAATGATTGTTTCCCTCAAGTTCCAGTCTTTGCACACATACAGCTATATCTTTTGCATCTATTTACTTTTGATCATTTTTAATTGCTTGTTGAATTTAACTTTCAGAAGGTGATTAGCTGTTCCTTTTCCTTTATTTATTATTTATTTTTCTTTAGGGCAAAAAATACCTCTATGCTGGCTCAAATTCTGGTGTGGTTCAGTCTCCTGTGGCGTTCTGTGATAAATACACCACTTGCGTGGATTGCGTTTTAGCAAGGGATCCCTACTGCGCTTGGAAACCCCTTGAAGGCTCCTGCGTGGATATTCTTAAGGAAAGAGACATGGAAAGGTAAAGGCAGCTTTTAATAACCCGACAGGTAGAATTTAAAAGTTTGCATGGGTACTGTAAATGTTCGCTTCCTATCAAACTTTTTAAAAAAGGTTTTATCTTTGCAATATTGTGTCAGCCTTGTTCCTTACTGATAACTAGGATTTTTTTTTAACAGCATGTTTTCAAATACACACTTTCTCTTATCCGTTAATTAGCATCTTTCAGAAATGTCTGTTTACACCATTTAGATAAGATGAGCCTTGTTTAGTGCAGGAGAGTGGGGGAGCTGCAGGAAGCAAGTTGTAATACTCTTTTTTTTCTTTTTCTTTTTTTTTTTTTTTTTTATGTACAGGAATTGGATTCAGAACATAGGTGGAGATGCTTCCTCTTGTTCTGGTAAGATACAGCCTTTAAAAAGCTGTTTCCATTACCTAAGTGGAGTAGTGAAAAAAGGTTCTGATTTAATTAGATCAGTTTTCTGTGTCTATCTTGGTATGTGTTACATTTTTCTGTGTATGAGATCCTGTTTTCAGTGTTTGAGCATCCGTACAGTTCTCACAGCATCTGTGTTCATATACATTGAAGTGTGTGGTGCACAAGCTTCCTAAATGAACTCTGGCAGCTCAATAGCAGCTTGCAAAAGAGCAGTATTTACCATTAGTATTTCCAGTTCAGAGCCCTGTGTGTTTGTGAGGTGTCATTTGAGATTCTGTTCTTCAGACTTTGCTAAGTGCTTGATTATTGGATCAGACGCAATGATCCTGAGAAGAGCTGTTTTTATGGTGAAGTGGAGGGGATAGAGGGGGCTAGGAACATCATACAGAGCAGCTGAAATACTCTCCAGAGTGTTGTAAGGCAAGTAATCCCAGGTCATTTTTTTTTCTTTTCTGTAGCATGTATTATTGTTAGCAAAGCAAGGAGGTCTTAAAGAGTAGTAATGTTCAGGATGTCTGTGTTGCAGCAAACAAAGCTTTTAAGAGTTTGCTTTACTGTGTACTATTAATCCAAGCATAGCATATGTAACCATGGAAGTTTGTGGTGTTTGTTAGTTACTTACTCAGAGTTACCATGCTGTTTTCTGGGCGTGCTGTAGGTGCTGATACCTTTAGAAGAGAGTTTAAGAGCAGTGATCTGAGTAACCACTCTTCAGTTTCCATTTGGGCAGTTTATAGTTACCAATCTACTTAAAGTGCCCTAGTTGTGTGTAAACTCATACCAGGTTCAGCATCTTGTTTCAAACAGTGGCTCATCTCATGCATAACTCTGTTGTGGATCAACAAGGTCTCATCCTATTTCTCTACAAGTAGAAGCTTTTTCAAGGTTTGGGCTATCCTATCTCTTAGTCCCTTTGGACACCTTGTATGCTGTCTAGGATTTCACTGATGTTCCTGCATGCAGTTTTCTTGGTCTTGTGTGGTAATTGTAATGCTGTAACCTCTGTGTTTCTGTTAAGAGTAGCACAGTCTCATGAAACTGTACAGATTAGCGCAAACAAAAATCATTGCTGACACTCTGCAAATTTATTTTGATGTTCCAGATAAAGTAAGAGAGAATTCCCTACAGCATACATTCAAGCATGGGAGCACAGCAGAACTCAAATGTTCTCAAAAGTCCAATCTGGCACAGGTAGTTTGGAAGTTCAAGGATGATGTGCTGAAAGTAGAGAGCCCCAAATACCGCCTGCTGGAAAAGGCCTTGCTCATCTTCAACTTATCGGAGGGAGACAGTGGCGTTTATCAGTGTTTGTCAGAAGAAAAAGTGAAGAATAAGAAGTTTTCTCAAGTGCTGGCGAAGCATGTTTTGGAACTGAAGAAGATCCACCACACCACGGCGGGCCCGACGGCGGCAGCTGCCACCACAAAAGGTAATAGCGATGAGCCCAAAGCGTCGCCCGCGTCGGCCCAGGGGCCCACGGCCCAGACCTCCACCACTCACATCATGCCCGTCACCACAGCAAGGATCTTAACGAAGCCCGTCGGCCCCGTCCTCACGAGCGCAGCCTCCAACACGGAGATCTTCAACCTGATTCCTGATGCGGTCCCAGAAAAGACCATGTTCCTCAAGTCAAACGATAACTTCCTTTTGATGTTCCTCTTTCTGTTCTTTTTCATTCTCTTCCTGTGTCTGCTGTCCTACAACTGTTACAAGGGGTACTTGCCAGGCCAGTGCTTGAAATTCCGCTCAGTTTTGTTGCTGGGCAAGAAGAAGAACAAGTCGGATTTCTCCGACTGCGAGCAGAGCGTGAAGGAAACCCTGGTGGAGCAGGGCAGCGCCAGCCAGCAGAATGGGGAGCAGCCGAAGCCGGCCCACGACACGGGCTACGAGACGGAGCCGGACTGCGGCAACGGGCAGGGGCCGCCCGCGGAGGCGCCGGCGCCGCGCGACGCCCGCGACCGCCCCTTCGACGTCAAGTGCGAGCTCAAGTACGCCGACTCGGACGCCGAGGGAGAGTGAGGGCACCCGTGCGACCCGCAGCCCGCGACCCACGCTGCCCCATCGCCGCGCATCGAGACGCGGAGCTCCTGTCGGCAGACAGCCGCATACTGCATTGTACTCTCTGTTTTTTTTCCTTTTCTATTTTTTAATTTTACCTTTAAACGGCCAGTTTCAGATGCCCCGTCAAGAAGTCCCAAGATTATTTTTTGCCCTGCCCCGGGGTGCTTCGCTCTGGCAAGGAGTCACTCACTCACTCACTATTTGACCCCGTTCTGCCCCTGAGCAAACGTGGCTTTCTAGCGCAGCTGGTTCTAAAAAGCACTTCAGCCTGCACGTATTTTAGCTGCCATTAAGAGAAAACAAAAAAGCAAAAAGAAATCAAGTTTCATTTTAATTCCAAATTGGAAATTAAGTTTAGTTTATCAGATTGGTAAATTATAGACTTTTGTCCAGATTGGGACACTTTATTTTCTTTTCTTTAGTGGTTATTTTTAGTTTGTGGTTTGGCACACTAGGTCTCTCTTAGTTAAAGTTAATTTTCTTAACGGCTTTTAAAGTATCTTTTAGATTTTAAAACGAAAGGGGATAGGTTTGGCTTGATTTATGTAAGACTCAGGGATAATCTTGTTTAAAGGCTCTTTTATTTGATACTTGTTAGAAATTTAGGTACAACAATAATACCAGTCCAAAGTACTTGGACTGGGCTAAGTTGGGGATATAAGAAAATATAGATATAGGATTTTTCTGGTTTTTTTTTTTCCCATAATCAGCAAGCTGGACACAATCACATTCTGTCTTCTCTACAGAACTGGATATTTTGGTTTCCTTTCTGTTCAGTTTTTTTAATGAAACGGTACAGGCAAGCAGCTCACGTGGCCGCCACACAGAGAGGGTTTTGAAGCAGGAATTGGGAAGAGTTATCGCTGCAATAGTGCGGCCAGCAGCTTGCCAGAATGGACTGTTCGGATACAGCCTGATGAGAACACGCCGCAGTTGATTTTCCTTTTTCCAGATTCAGAATTAACACAACCTCTTTTCGTGACAAGTCTTTGCCACGCCACCCTTGCCGGGTGGCACCCGCTGACCTCCTATGCAACTGGAGTCTGAAACTGGAGCTGCTCAAACAATCAGTCACCGGGACTGTCCATGGGGATCATGCCTACAGAAGTGAAAATGTGCGTTTGTTGTAGCCTGGCTCACAGCAGCACCGTTTGTCTGTAAAAGCATTTTGTGCGGTACAGTCCTGAAGAATTGTTTCTCTCGCTGCGTCTTCTCTGTAAATATTGCTAGAAGTAGAGTATGTTTTAACAGTAAACAGCAGTATGCCTGGGCTGCTTTTCTGTGTTGAACTTTCATGCAACCATAACTTTGACTGTCTTAGTGTGAACAGTTTATATTTTATAAGATTCAGTTTGGTTTTATTTTTCTATTTTTAATTATGTACATATAAAATGACAGAATAAATATTAAAATAAATTGTATTATATCTTGGCTTTTATGCAATTTGACACAGTGGGACTAGTTTCCATGTCCTTAGTGCTAGTGTTCCTTGAGGTTTTCTTTAAGGGGCAGTGGGTGGCAGGGAAGGGGGGGATGAAAACTTTAGTAATTCATTTGAAGTGGATTCTCTTTGTAGCGTTTCAAATCACATGGGTTACGTGTCCCTGCCGGGGACTGGAAGGATGGAGAGCAGAGCGTGGGTGAAGGAGGAACGGGCTCTTTTCTGGCACGGCAGCCTGGGGCCATTTCCTTGTGCTACGCTTCTGAAACTCATTTGTGTTTTGGCATTATTGTGTTTTGGCATTATTTCATTAGTGTGTGATGTGTTTCTGCAACCTTTTTCCTTAGCACCCTCTTTTTATTTTCTTTTCTGTGCTCTTCTGTCACACAGCCTCATCTCCTATACCTTTCCCTCCTACTGGTACCTCCTTTTTGTCGTGTGCGGGAAGTGACTCTCCTCCTTCACCCACCCGTGCCCAGCCTGAGGCTTGGCCCGGCACAGACCCTCTAAAGGTCATGTTGTTGCCACCCTTCCTAAGCGACCAGGCGCAGCACGTTAGTGTCCGCGGAGCCTTTCGCCTCTTCTGCCACGGCACAGGTAAGCGAGGGGCGCCCGGCGGGATGCGGCGGCCTCCGGAGCGCTCGGCCTCCGGAGCACTCAGCATCGGAGATCGCACAGTCGCCCACGCCGCTCGGGGCATCGGGAGCGACCTCCGCTGCGTCCAGCTCCTCCTGGGTTCGTGTTTCCCCATGGGCACTTCCACCACATCCAGCTCCTGTGCAGTTTGTTTTTCCCTGTGGGCACATCCACTGTATCCAACCTCTCGGGGGTTTGTGTTTCCCCACGGGCACGTCCACGACATCCAGCGCCTGTTGGGTCTGTGTTTCCTTCCACCACGTCCAGCCTCTGTGAGGTTTGTGTATCCCTGTGGGCACCTCCGCCACATCCAGTCTCTGTTGGGTTTGTATTTCACCTGCTTTCCCAGGCTTAGCCATTTGCCTTTTTTTAATTAATATCATTTTAAAAGGTGAAGTTCTTACAGTAGTAACAACCTCAGTTTCATGAAGTGGGTACAGTTATCTGAGGCATACAATCGAAGGTCAAAGTTACTTTTTTCAATGAAAATTCAACACTTGTCATACAGCTTTTGTTGGGATTGTAGTTGTCTTTAAACTGAATGAGTTTTAATGGATATTAACTGGTCTTGAGATGTAACTTCATTCCTTTGAAATAAGAGGGTGAGTTTGAAATGGTTTAATACAGATTCATTTTAAACGGAGCATTTCTTTTGACTGGTAAGTATATGGTTCTTAAAATGTTACATGGAATTAGATCATACTTCACACATTTTCATTAGCACATGCTTCACAAAGGTGTGATTTGTATTTCTGTGGCCAAGAGCAGTGACGATGGGCTCACATTTTCTAACAAGAATTTCTCCACTGCTGCTATAGACAGTGCACTTAAACTTAGTTTTTCCAGTATGAGGGAAATGGGAATAGTAATGTAGCTCATGGAGCCAAAGATATTTACATAGTCTGATAATCACGATACAGATCAGGAAGCTATTTTTAAATTACTCCCTCTTTAACTCAGTGTTGTCTCTGTATTTGGTGTCTGTTGTTATTTAACACTTTTTTCACTTGCTGCTGCTTAGAAATTGTTGGTAATCGTGATTGCTTGGCAGTAAACTTAGAGCAGAGGGGCCCGTGTGCTGAAGTGGCGCCGTGGATGTCCCCGCAGCAGCAGGTAGGGAAGGACGAGCGAGGAGCTCTTGGGAGACTCGGGCTGAAGGTGAGCACAGTAACAACCTGGGGCAGTCCAGTTGCCTCCCTGTGTGGGGGACAGGAAAAGGCTTTCGCTTGGGAAGAGGTTTCCACATTGTCCCAAAAGTCAGTGAATTGCCAGACTTTATCTTTTGGAAGGATGTTTCATCCTCTCTAGGAAATGAGACATACGGCTGATACATCACCGTGTACATTCCCCCTCTTACGTGGAATGGCCGCTTTTGTTCAGTTGACTGATAAACTAGAAGGTGGCATGCCACCCTGATAGAAGCCCTCTGCATCACCCTGAGAATGTCTGCAAAGATGTTTGGGTGTATTCCTGGGGGATAAGCAGGCACCTTGACCAAGAAGCTCCCTGCTTGGATTTGTTCACATTCCTTCACTCATTGTTGATACTCCTTTATATAAACACAGCACTAATGGAGCCTCATTTCCCCTAGCAGTGATTATAGCTCAAAATGTGTTTGCAAGGAACAGAAGAATAAAGGGAGAATGCCAGGGTTAAGCGTCATGTTTGGTCTTCTGATTCAAGGATGTGCTTTAAGCAAGGTCCTCCCTTCTGTAATACAAACATAGAGATTGCTGTGTAATCTGCTGGGAAAAAAAAATGAGGCTTACTTTGTTAATCAGTTTTCTACCATTACTTTAATGAGGATGACCAAGTTTCTGCTTTTTCTAAGCATAAAGTTCTGCTTCAAGCCGTTGGGATCGTGGCAGGGGTTGGTTCCTACTCCTGTCTCGTTCATGGCACATGTTTTAACCTGAGCGCCTGCCCAGGGGCAGCACCTCACAGCCCTCCCGCTGGCCTCTGTCCCCTGCAGCGTGAGGTGGAGCGGGGTGCAGCACCAACAGCCGCTTGTCAGGGTCTGATGGATTCTCTGGAGAAGAGACAGAGTCGTTTTGCCTTTGTCCTTCCTGAAAAGAAAGATCTCCAAGGAGCAATTTGTTAATGGAGCAGTTTTCCTCCCGTTGCCCTGACAAGTCTTACGTCTTCACACATCCCCAAAGGTCTGTTAGATTTGCACTAGCAAATACTAAGTTCCCTGTATGCTTTCTTTAATGTGACTTTGTCTGCATTACAGAATTAAGTACTGTAAAGACATATGAAGGAGTCTTGAAATAAGTTGAACAGACTCCTGCACCATCTGGTGCAGGGGGAGAGGCGGTGAACTGATGAGGTGCTGAATTGCTTTGTAATTTATCTCTCCTGTGCCCCATTCAATATAGATACAGCAGAAACAGGCTTTTTTAGTGGAGTGGGTACTGCTCAGGCATGTTACTTTGACCCCCTTCCCCCCCCCAGCTGCACAACTGCAGATTACAAGCTCTCCTTGGCCTTAATTTCACAGACAAGTTTTGTACTAGAACACAGTGCTAAGCAGCGATATAAATGTGTTTATAGATAAGGAGAAGCAGCAACATTATGCTGTATTTCTGTGAGTTTGGCCTGCAGCTTTGTGCCCTGATCTCAAGACTTCTGACCTCTCTCCTTAGCTTGTCTGGGGCTGGACGTTTTCCATCGCTGCTCCTTAAATTTTAACTCCCATTAAAATAACCCTGGGAATGAAAATAAATGTTCTGCAAACACAGCAATATACTTCAAAGCAGTTGTTATTTCTTAGAGGTACTGAGATGGGCCCCCGATAACGTTCACATACAATGCCTATTCCCTGTGGTTATGCTATTTTAAAGGTAGGGCATAATGCAAGAAAGCTTCCCACGTCAGCGTGGGAAAAGATCCATGGCTCCCTGGAACCAAATCCCGAGAGATCTGCCAGTGTTTCTCTGGGAAGCGAAGCTGGCAGCAGCGCTGCTGGGCATCATGGAGCAGAGTGGGGAGAGGCTGCGCGCGGCGCCGCGGGAGAACCAGACCGAATGTCCTCCCTTCCGAGCCCTAGGAGCGCCCCGGAGCTGCCACAGAGCCGGGAGGCTTCCCCTTGGGAAAGGGGCTCCCGGACGGGACCTTGTCCCCCTCACCCTTCTGAAGGCGCCGAGCAGCAGCCTAGGCTGAAA